ATTTACATGGGACGTGTACGAGGTGTTCTGACTCGTATGTCACTTCACTTCACTGCTGCAGTGAATTGTAGCTGAAATATCTGGATTAGAGATGATTTTTTTGTCCCTGTATAACCTGTTATGAAGGGCAGCACTCTACAGAAAAATAAGCCCAAGGCCGGATGTGTGAATCATCAAATATGAACTTGGAAAGTGGATGAATTATGCTTTCAGTGTCAGGGATGCTGGAAGTCAATCAGAGTTAAAGGTGCAGAGAGAAAGTCTGTCTGTATAATGATGCATGCATGAGGATCATTTATAGCCTATTTATTGACCTCTTTCCTGCCATAAATACCAGTGTAAACATGTAAATCTCTCTAAAAAAGGAAAAAAGTGTAAGCATTTTTATGAATTAATGGTTTTAATTATGTCATATTTTGGCCTACTTAAGCAATGAGAAGCAGGTTTTCTAACCGTGACGCCTGATCTTCAGCACCACAGCATCTTTTCCTAGTTTTTATATATATAGTAACATTTCTTTCTGTTTATTACTGTGAAGTACAGGTTGGGTTGAGACTGCAGCATGTGTGGGAATAAAAACTCATGAATGAATTTGGTCAGCCTGGGTATCTAAACATGTCGTAACACACACTGTGATTTTCTGCTGGGAGGGCTGCCCAGTAAAAATAAAGCCTGCATCTATTCTGGCCTCCATTCAGAGCAGTGAGGCTCAGTGGACACAAGCCCCAGACAGAGACACAGACACCCTGCCCCGCATCACTGGGCATGGCCCTGTACTCTCCACGCCTCTGTTGATTCAAGACTTTTAGGTTGGTTTTATCACCGTCATCACCGCTCTGCCCCCCATCTGTCTTTATATGCTCGAAACTCAACAACTGCTTCAGAAGGCTGTGGCGGGGTCTATATGTAATATATGAGGGGTCATTACAAGCTTAAACAAAGACACTCTCGTAGACAACTGAGAAGGATATCACACACCACCACCACACCACATACAATATAAATGTACTCTTTTACAAATAAATGAGTATTTGAAATCTTACTTAAGTAAATGTACAGAAGTTTCAGCAAAGTAGGGTAGTTTAACCTCTCTAACTTCTCCTGATTAAGTGAGGTAAAGGTACAATGCTTTCTTCTTTCTTCTTACAGTAAGCAGCAGGAAATGGAAATACTCAAGTAAAGTATAAATATCTCACAGCTGTACTCAGCTGCAGTATTTTAGTAACTGTATATTGTTACAGTACCCACTGCTTTCCACTGCGGATCCCAGAAATCACTTGTTCATACTACAGTCCGACTTACATGGAACCATTTATTCCACCATTAATCTAAACTGCACATAATATCTGTATGTGTGTTTATATGTCTGTATGATTGTTTTGTATGAACTTGATTCTGAACATTATTCTTTAGTATAAACTGCCTTGTTCAGAAATAAATTTCTCTTTTGGAAACAGTAAAAACATTTAAACACAAATTCATGTTAATGCCTCATATGTGAGTGTTTGTTTTGGCGAGTGACAGCCTAAGTGGAGCACTTAAACAGAAAACCTTGAATTTATTATTTCATTTGGAAACTATTGTGGAAAAGAGAAGGAGGGTGTTGATTGACATTATTAAAATAATTCGACAGCTGCTTTTATCCAAAGTGACATTGGTGTCAAAGTGTGTTTCGTGTGGTTGATTTGGTTGATTTGGAGTTCAGTGTCTTGCTCAAGGACTTGCAGACAGGAAGAGCCTTGAATTGAACTGCTCATCCAACAATTACCAGCTAATCCACCTACTTCCTGAGCAAAAACCCACCTCTAACCACCCAGTTGTTCTTGAATTTAATTACAAACAAGCTTTTTTAAGGCACATCCAACAGCTGCATATCTTTCACCAAGAGCATAAAACAGTTATTTCTTCACACTGAAGAGAACAGAGAGTTTACTAAATGAAAGCAGAGTCCCATCAGAGTATATATTGGTCATTATTGTAGGGGTGGCTGCACAATAGTGCTGTGTGTTTTTTTTGTTGTGGAGTGCCAGTGTGATTTAAAGCTGCTGACAGCACCAGACGCTTACACTGCACTCGGCTCCTGCTGTCTCTCGTCCTCTATCATTTGTATCGATGGATACAAGCCCGTCTGCTCGCCTGACAGTCGATCTCTGCTGCTCTTCTCTTCCCTTTCTTGCTCCTCCACCTCCCTCACTAACCACTTGCTCTGTCCTTCCTGTCTATTAGTTACCTCAACTCCTCCTCCTCTCTCTATTTCTAGCATGTCCCTCCCTGCTCCTCTTCTGTTCGAGGCTTTGAAAGAAGACGACTTGCTCTGTGTGAAAAGTGTCTTGAGATAACTTCTGTCATGATTTTGGTGCCATACAAACTAAATTTAATTTAATAAGATATATGTTTTTTTCTCCAAATGATTGAAAGTAGCAAACTGAACTAAAAATCTCATATTTTCTTTAACTTTAACTACCAGAAGAAAGTTTTTTGTTGCACTATTTGGCTATTTTCAGGCATTCTGCAGGTTGATTAACCTTATCATAGGACCAGTAGCCCTAAATTAATTACATTTTTAAGGGGATGTCTTTTCTCTGAGGAGTCTGTCTCCTGCTATTGAGAGACAATCCAAGATTTTAGCTTAATTTAGTGATTAAATTTAGTTTTCAAACATTTTGAACCTTTTACCTGTTCAGTCCACCATAAACCACGATCCCCTCCTGTACAACTAAGTGTATAAAGCACTTTTATGTATAAATATAGGTCTAAACAAAGATTACGGTGATGATTTTTAAGAGAGAGAAGAGTAAATATGAACTGAAAAGAGAACTAGAACATGAACTTTATATCCAGAAATGAACAGAAAAGACCAGAAAATGGAGATAGTTGACCACTTTACCACCAGAGTTCATTGACCCAACAACATTACAGACCAACAAATGTGTGTTTTCTCTCAGCCTCTCTCTCTCTTACACACACACACACACACACACACGCACATTAGAGAGAGGGAGAGGCCCCAAACAGTACCTGTGTGTAGAATAATCCTTCAGTGTAGTTAACACCTGTGTCTGCAGAGAGATCTAGCAGCTTTCTGTCTACCTTTGTTTCAGAAGTACTGTTGTGATGTTGATGTTTTGCTCGATCCACTGCAAATGCTCAGGAGGGTTGGATTGCATTAAAGGGATATTTACAAGCTATATCTTTTTGTTTGTTTAATCTTTTCTTTGGGTAAATTACTGTACTGTTTCACATCTGCAGGCATAAGCATATCCCTTGATTAGCTGTGAGTATACGCAGTGTATTAAGATCCTTAAGTAAGAAATAGTGGAAACAGAACAATGTTAAAATCTAATTAATTAAAAAACTCAACTAGGGTGGTATTATTAACAAAATATACTTAAGTATAAGTATGTATTATGCAGAATGGGTTATGTTAATATGTAGGCCTATATTACTGTATTATTAACATGTACACTGAAGATATTTTCTTCTACTTATAAGGAAATTGTCTGCTGTCAAATAAGAAACAGAAGATATTTATTTTTTCTAATGGAAAGACACAGTATATGTACAGGTAAGTAAAAATAACTTAGAATAAAATAGGAAACTATAGTAAAAATATAAAATATAAATAAAATAAGTGGGAACTTTTTAAACACAACATTTTTTTAATGGATATATTTAAAAATAATTAAATAGATTATATCTAAGATAAGATAAAATGTTTCTTTGTTGATCCCCGTAAGAGAAATTAAAATTTGGCAGAGCAGTAAAAGGACTAAAAAATATATAATAAAATAAAAACCTAATAGAAAAAAATCTAATATAAATTTAGAATATAATAAAATATATAGACTATATAAAGTAAAGTTGAATATATATCTAAGATAAAATAAGATAATAATAATAATAATGTCCCTTTAAGAAAAATATATAAAATATATAATGTATATAATATAAAATATAATAAAATAAAAATCTAATGAGAAAAATCTAATGTAAATTTAGTACATAATAAAATATATACAATATATAAAATAAAGTTGAATATCTAAGATGTTCCTATAAATACAACAAAATATAATAAATAATATAATATTAATCTAGAATATAATAAAATATATACACTATTTACAAAAAAGGTGAATATCTATCTAAGATGTTCCTATAAATACAATAAAATATAAAAATATATAATATATAAAATATAAAATATCATAAAATAAAAATATAATGAGAAAAGTCTAAAATATATTTAGAATATAATACAATATATACACTATGTAAAATAAAGTTGAATAGATATCTATCTATATAAGATAAAATAAGATAAGATGTTCCTATAAATACAATAAAATATCATAAAATAAAAATATAATGAGAAAAATATAACTCTAGAATATAATACAAAATAAAGTTGAATATTTATCTATCTATATAAGATAAAAAATGTTAAGATGTTCCTATAAATAAAATTAAAATTAAAATATAAGATACATTTAGAATATAATAAAATCTACCCTATATAAAATAAAGCGGAATATATATCTATCTATATAAGAAAAAAAAGTTCCTATAAATACAATAAAATATAAAAATATATAATGTATATAATATAGAATATAATAAAATAAAAATATAATGAGAAGAATTTTATATTATTTAGAATATAATAAAATATATACACTATATAAAATAAAGTTGAATATCTATCTATCTATATAAGATAAAATAAGATAAAATAAGATAAGATGTTCCTATAAATGCAATAAAATATCATAAAATAAAAATATAACGAGAAAAATATAAAATATAATAAAATAATTATATAATGAGAAAAATCTAATATACATTTAGAATATAATAAAATACACACACTATATAAAATAAAGTTGAATATCTATCTATCTATATGGGTTTCCCCCCTAAATACAATAAAATACAAAAATATAAAATATAATAAAATAATTATATAATGAGAAAAATCTAATATAATTTAGAATATAATAAAATATATAGACTTTTGAAAAAAACGGTGAATATCTATCTAAGATGTTCCTGTAAATACAATAAAATATAAAACTATATAATGTATATAATATAAAATATAATAAAATAATTATATAATGAAAACAAATCTATTATAACTCTAGAATATAATAAAATATGCACACTATATAAAATAAAGTTGAATATCTATCTATCTATCTATCTATCTATCTATCTATCTATCTATCTATCTATCTATCTATCTATCTAAGATGTTCCTATAAATACAAT